AACAAACTTAAGAAGACTGAAATTATAGCCAGTATTTTTTTTCAAATACAGTGGTATATAAAATAGAAATTAGTAACAGGAGGGATTTCAGAAAATTCACAATTACATGGAAATTAAACAGCATGGTCCTGAACAACAAAGAGTCAAAGAAGAAATGAAAAGGGAAATTTAAAAAAATAACTTGAGGCAAATTAAAATGGAAACACAAGGCATAGTAATGGGATGCAACAAAAGCAGTTCTAAGAGGGAAGTTTATATCAATATGTGCTTACATTGAAAAAGAAGAAAGATCTCAAGTAAACAACCTAACATTACACCTCAAGGAACTAAAAACAGAACAAACTAAGCCCAAAATTAGTTGAAAGAAAAAAATAATAAAGATTAGACCAACCAGAAATAAATGAAATAGAGACTAGGAAAATAATAGAAAAGATCAACAAAACTGAAAGGTTATATTTTGAAAAGATAAAAATGACAAACCTTTAACCAGACTACTTAAGGACAAAGAGAGAAGACTTAAAATCAGAAATGAATGAGGAGACATTACAGCTGATGCTACAAAAATGAAAGAGAGACTGCTATAAACAATTATACCCCAACAATTTGGACAATCTAGATGAAATGGATAAATGTCTAGACACATGCAGTCTATCAAGATTGAACCATGAAGAAACAGAAAATCAGAATAGACCGATAATAAGTAAGGAGATTGAATCAGTAATAAAAAGACTCTGATCAAAGAAAATCTGAGGCAGGACCCAACAGCTTCACTGCTGAATACAACCAAACATTTAAATTTCGAACTGCTCCTAAAAAATTGAAGAGGAGGGAATACTTTCAAACTCATTTTACAAGGTTAGCATTGCTCTTATTTCAAAACTAGGCAAGGATACTACAAGAAAGAAAAATTACAGGCCAATTTTCTTGATTAACATAGATGCAAAAATTCTCAAAAAAAAAAAAAAGTAACAAACCAAATTCAACAAATTAAAAGGGTCTTTCACCATGATTGAGTGGGATTTATCCTAGAGATGCAAGAATGGCTCAACATACACAAATCTATAAATGTGATATACCATATTAATAGAATGAAGGACAAAAATATCAAATCATCAGATTCTGGAAAAAAACATTTGACAGATTCAATATCCTTTCATTAAAAAAAAAAAAAATCTTAACAAATTTCTTATAGAACAAATTGTACCTCAACATAGTAAAGTCTATATATGGCAAACCCACAACTAACATAATTCTCAACAGTGAAAAGTTGAAGCCTTTTTCTTTAAGATCAGAAACAGACAAGGATGCCCTATTCTTGCTACTTCTCTTCAACATAGTACTGTAAAGTCTCAGTCAGCACAGTTGGGCAAGAGAAAGAAATAAAAGGCACCCAAATTGGAAAGAAAGAAGTTAAATTTTTTTTTCTTTGCAGGTGACATGGCCTTATATTTAGAAAGCCCTAAAGGCTCCAACAAAAAACTAATAGAAATAATAATTAAGTTACAGGTACAAAATCAACATATGAAAATCCGTAGCATTTCCATACGTGAACAACAAACTATCCAAAAAAGAAATCAAGAAAACAATCCCATTTGTAACAGCTACAAGAAAAAAATAAAATACTTAGGAATAAATCGAATCAAGGAGACCTGTACATTGTAAACTATCAAACATTGATGAAAGAAATTGAAGAAAACACAATTAAATGAAAAGATATCCTGTGTTCATGGACTGGAAGAATTAATATTGTTTAAATATCCATGCTACTTAAAGCAATCTACAGATTCAAAGCAATATTTATCAAAATTCCAGTGATTTTTTTCACAGAAATAGAAAAGGCAATCTTAAAATTCATATAGAACCACAAAAGACCCCAAATAGCCAAAGCAATCTTGAAGCAAAAAGAACAAAGCCATCACACTACCTGACTGAAAAAATCTGCTGCAAAGCTATGCTAATCAAAACAGCATGGTACTACACACATAGACTAATGGAACATGATAGCCCAGAAGTAATCCCATGGATTTGTGGTCAACTGATTTTTGACAAAGGTGCCACGAACACACAATGGGGAAAGGACAGTCTTTTCAATAAATGATGCTGAGAAAATTGGATATCTACATACAGAAGAATGAAATTAGAACCTTTTCTCCACCATATTAAAAACCCAATTTAAGATGGATTAAATACTTAATCATAAGACCTGATACTGTAAAACTTCCAGAAGAAAACATAACGGAAAAGCTCCTGACATTAATCTGGATAATGATCTTTAGGATATAACTCAAAAGCACAGGCAACAAAAGTGAAAATAGACAGAAGAGATTACATCAAACTAAAAAGTTTTAGCACAGCAATAAACAGTCAACAGAGTGAAGAGGCAATCTACTAAGTGGGAGAAAATATTTGCAAACTATACATCTGATAAGAGGTTGATATTCAAAATATGTGAGTAACTCAACTCAATAGCAAGAAAATAAATAACCCAATTAAAAAATGTGCAAAGTACCTAAATAGACAGTTCTCAAAATAAGACACATGCATATGGCCAACAGATCCATGAAAAAATGCCCAACATTAATTGTTTGAGAAATGCAAATGAAAGTCACAATGAGATATCACCTCATACTGTTAGAATGGCTGTTATCAAAAAGACAAAACATAAGTGTTGAGGAGGATGTGAAGAAAAGAAAACCCTTGCACATTTTTGGTAGGAAAGTAAATTAGTACAGCCATTGTGGAAAACATTATGGAGGTTCCTCAAAAAATCAAAAGTGAAACTACCATATGATCCAGCAATTCCACAACTGGGTTTATATCCAAAGGAAATGAAATCAGTGTGTGAAAGAGATATCTACACTCCCATGTTCCTTGCAGCATTAATCACAATAGCCAAGATTTGAAATCAACCTAAATATCCATCAACAGATGACTAGATAATGAAAATATAATATACACACAATTGAATACTATTCAGCCTTTAAAATAAGAAGGAAATACCGTCATTTGGAGCAACATAACTGAACCTGGAGAGCATTGTGCTAAGTGAAATAAGCCAGGCACAGAAATACCAGCATAATGCCATGAACCAGGCATAATGCATCCATATACATACACATACACTATCACTTACATGTAGAATAGAAAAAAGTTGAACTCAATAAAGAGTAGAATGTTGGTTGCCAGAAGCTAGTGTGGTGGGAAGATGTCAGTCAAAAATTTAAGTTAGGAAGAATGAGTTCAAGGGATGCATTGTACAACAGTGGTGACTATAATAACAATGTATTATATTTTGAAAATAGCTAAGAGCGATTTTAAGCACCCTTTCCACAAAAAAGGAAAAGAATATGAAATAGCACATTAATTAGCTTGACGAGCCATTCTACAATGTGTCCATATTTTAAACCATCATGCTATACCTGAAAAATATATATAATCTTTGTCAGTTAAAAGTAAATAAATGGGACCCTGCCAGAGCCACCACTGCCAGCAACATGTTCAAGGTAATTCAGAGGTCCATGGGGCCAGCTGGCCCAAGCTTGCTTACCTTCAGAAAGTCTGTACTGCACCGAAAAAGGACTCAGCTCCCAAAATTTCCATGAAGGTTGATAAGCTTTCACTCTACTCAGTTCCCAAGGGTCCATCGAAGTATGTGGAGGAGTCAAGGAGCCCACTTGAAGAAAGCATCTCACAGCTCCGACACTACTGCAAGCCATACACAAGCTGGTGTCAGCAAACATACTCCCAAAATAAGCCCAAGATGCAAAGCTTGGTTCAATGGGGGTTAGACAGCTATGACTATCTCCAAAATGTACCTTCTGGATTTTTTTCGAGACTTGGTGTTATGGTTTTCCTGGCCTTATTGAACTCCTTTTGGCTAGATGTTCAAAAATAAAGAAGCTAGTGTGTCCACCTGGTTTTATGGAATTAGCTGCCTTCCTCTATTATCTACAACAAGCCATTGTGTTTGCTCAGGTCAGTGGGGAGAGACTATATGACTGGGGTTTATAAGGATACTAGACCAGACTTCTGTTATCTTGGTGATGTCATCCTACAAGCAAACTAATCAAATCCTTTCACGTAGAGATAACATACAAGCCTTAGAACTCCTCGTTCTCATGTTGCTATTTATGTACAAAATTAAAACCCAAGTTAAAAAAAAAGTGTTCCACACAAATGTTCCACAAATAACTGGTCTGCAGGACATTCATAAGCAGGCCTGCTCCTGGTATTTGCAAGACCCAGGTCAAGAGGATGAATTGAAGCATCATATCATATGAAAATATATAAAATAGTAAATCAGGCTAACATACTGTTAGGTAAAATTTATTCTACCCACCTGTATCTTTGAGATGGTAACATTGAAAATAAGTAAGCAGCTATGGGCTTCATGTAATTGAAAGATGGCATGAATCAAAGATGATAAACTTAGTTATTGTACATGTCTGACTATTTCTGTTTATGGTCCATTAATGTTTGGGTAAGTAATGAAATAAAGGCATACATGGTTTTTTAAAAGTTAGAAATACATATGCATGCATACAAGCAAACACATATATGTATGTGCATTATGCCTGCAATATACAGAGAATATTTCTGAAAAGGTCAACAAGAAATCTGGTAGGTAGTTGTTGCCAGGCATGGAAACGGGACTGGAGGTCACACTGAAGGAAAAGAGACTGATTTTCCTCATGTTGACATTCTTTTGTATTTTTATTTTTTTATGATGTATATATATTATTTTCAATGACAACCCAGTTTACAGATTTTTTTTAAGTGCTTGAGTTTGGAAACTGAGACACTGCAAAGTAAACATCTGCATCTATAAGGCTTATAAATGGCAGAGCTGGGACATGTGTGGGGCTGTCTGAGTTCAAAGCTAGGGCTCATTGTCATTGTATCAGTAATTTTTTGCATGTATTGATCTGATAATGTTTCTAAAAGATGACATAATCATAAACACTTGTTTAACCTTTTTTTTTTTTTTTTTTTTTTTACAGATTGTGATTTTAAAAAAGCAGCAGCAGCTGTATGTGTCATCATAAAGAATTCCAATAGTCTGGACTTCTCCCAAGGTGTGCAGTGCTCATAAGCTTGCCAGTGTGTGATTCATGAGAAAAGAGATTTATTTTCCTTAAACACTCAGTAATTTAAAATGATTTTTAGTAATAATAATTATCAAATGAAAAAGCTTTATTCTCTTTGGTGTTTTCTAGATACCCTACTTAAAGAACATTTTCTTATGTTCCATTTCAATATTTTGTTAACTATGAGGATGTGCTGGCTTGTTGAATCAAACAGAAGGAAATATGGAATATTTTTCCAAATAGTTTTGGTTCACTATTCACAGGACGTTGGCATTGACGTCTCCAGTTGAAAATGTGCCTATTCCATGACTCAGGATTTTATCTCCTAGATATGTATTCGGCAGAAATGCATGAGTATGCACTAACAGGCATGACAAGAATATTCATAGTAGTGCTATTCACAGTAGTCCCAAACCAGAAACCCAAGTGTATGTCTCCATTGGAACAGAAAACTCTACCTTGGTCTACTTCTACAGTGGCACATCAACCCACCTTTGGATCTAAGAAGTATGTTCATGCAACAGCTATAGAGACGGTGCTGTTTAAAGGCAATCTGCCCATCCTGTGTATTGACAAGCATCAGGATCCCACGAGGATTCTTCCTCATTCAAAGACTGGCAAACAGAAAAACACAGTAAATGAACAAAAACATCAACATGGAGCTCAAGTAAATAATTTATAAAGGAAATGTATACTACTTTGAAAACAATAAAAGCTTATGTTAGAAAATATCCTACTGTAAGAAACAAATTTCAGAAACATTTGCTTGGTGTCTTTAATAAGAGTCAAAAAGAAAGGGTCGTTTCAGAAACCGAAGTAGGGAATATTAAGAACAGACAAGGTCAAAAATAGATACAGGCTGAAAAGAAAGGAAAGTGGGCTAAGATGGAAAAAACGTAAAAAGATTAAAATCCAGTGACAAAATTTACACATTAACTTGGATGCAGTGAAAAGAGCAGAAATATCACAGCAGAGAATAAAACTGGTAATGTTTTTATTTATTAGGTGATCTAACATTAGATGGGAAGGAATGGGCAAAGAGATGAAAATGACAGAAGTTAGCTCTAGATTACCTATCCCACAGCAATAGGAATTATTGAAGAAGAAACTAGAACAAATAAAATAGAAACAATCACAGTTTAATAATTCATTTTCTGAGTTAAAAAAAAAAAGCTAATTATACAAACTTGAAAGGGTTCACCTTGCCCTAGCAAAAGTAGGATTGGGGCAACTGAGGCAAGTTTTTTCCCCCTGAGGATCACTGGCAAAAAAAAAAAAAAAAACACTGCACCAGTAAGGAAGGATCTAAATTTTATTTTGTTTTTAAAATGCTAACCTAAAGTAGGTAAAGGTTATATTATTCACTTTTGAAATAAAACATCAGGAACACAAAATGAGAAGTGAGTTAGGGTTAGCTGATGGGAAAGAAGGTGGGAGGGGAATGCTATACAACTGGGAATGGCAGACTTTCTGTAAAGGGCCAGATGGTAACTACATTAGACTTTGTGGGTCAGATGAGTTGAGAGCTGAGTTGAGTACACAGTACATTTTAACTGCGTACTCATCTCTACTGTTGCAGGGTAAGAGCAGCACTAGATGACACATAAATGAATGAGCATGACTGTGTTCCAGTAAAACTTTATTTTAGTTAAAATCAATACGTTTGAAAAACGATTTAAAGTTGCTTCTAATAAAGAACATGTAATAAAATATATATATTTTTAATAATCTTTATCCTTACATAGTCTTCTAAAACTTAGTTTTGAAAATATAAGTTATTACACAATTCTCACAATTTCCTCGGAGAGGAAAACTTTCCTGGTACTGGCTATCTTTTACTTATAATGGCTCGAGTTAAAATGCTCCAAATTTTCTAACCTTTGCTTTTGAAAAACAAAACACCTATAGTGACAATAAAAACATGCATTTAAAGCCATGTGGTCCTGGTGACTGGAGCCATATAGTAAGTTGGGGCTAGACTAGTACAATAAATAGCAATACAAAATTACAGTGAACTGTCTGAGGCAGAAAACTTTTTTTGCATGGAAGCATAATCAGATATAGTGAATCATTGTAAAGAGGCAATGTGTTAGCATGAGGCAAGGTAAAATCCAAAAGGAAGGTGTGCAGTGTGGGAAAAGGATCACTTTAGGATGAAAAACTGTTAGCACAAAATTTTTGGGAATTGTAAATTCCTAAAGTACAGAACTCCCAGACAAATTACGTTAATGCCCGAGTGTTAGTTCAGGAATAGCTTCCACTGCTAACTCCCATCCCCCTATTCAATTCTAGGCCCTGGTACCCACTTGAGAGTAGAGTTGTATTTACAAACACTTGGAGTGATTTTATGCAGAAAATCATAAATTTATGATTTTCATTTATGCAGTTTGCACAGAGGATTATAGATTGAGTTACTAGGAGAATGGAGAATGCCGGCAAGTCCCTGAGTGACAGTGGGTGGCTCCTCTCTGCAAGGAGGTCATCCTGATGAGTGTTCAGCTCTACCCAGAGAAGGTAGCTCCTCTCTGCAGCTGGTTATCCAGACATCTCCTCTGCTCTGGCTGAGTCCAGGGTTTTTTGATCTTCAGAGAGAGAAAATGCATGCTGATTGGTCCATGGGCAGCCATGAGCAAGCCCAGGAAAAAGCAATACACACTCCCCCTCCAGGCAGCAGGACTGGCAGCCTGGACCCCAGGCTTCAGGCCTTCTCAGCATGAAGGTAGGGCTTCACTGGGGCCCTGCCCTCTTCTGCCCAGGAGCCTGTCTGCCTCCCCTGTCATTCATGGCACCCAGACTCTTCCTGCCAACGGATGCCTGCAGGCCAGCGATGAGCTGCCCTCGACACCCTCTCAGCTTCCCTCCCATGCTCTTCAGTGCCTCAAGCGAGGAGGAGGCCAAGGCAGCAGGGGGCTGGCATGTCAGCACTGCCCCGAGCGTGCCCCCACCCTACCGGCCTGTGGCAGTGCCAGGGCTTGGCCCCAACCTTGCTCCATAGAGCAGGCACCAGGAGTAGGGAGAAGCCAGGCAGCAGGAGCAGGCACTTCCAAGCCTGTGAGGGGAGGGGGACGTTCGCAGGCCCCCAACAGTGCAGGGATGCCTGAGTCTGCAGCCACAGTTTGAGCAGCTGCAGCTGTGTCCAGGAGGGTAGGGCTCCTGCCTGCTTCCAGCTCCCCAAAAGCAAAAGGAAGTTCAGATCCATAGCCACACCTGGGTGGCTGCAGCCCTACTGGGAGGGCAGGGCTCCTGCTACTCTGTGGATTGGGAAGTCAGGGTCTGTAGCCATAGTTTGTGTGGTGACAGTGGCACCTGGGGAGCTCCCAACTTGGAAGGGGTGGGCCTCTTGCTTGTCCCCAGATCCCACCAGCTCCATGGAGGATGCAGCCTCAACTGCACCTCTCTGCTGCAGCTAGTGTGATGGCAGTGGCAGACTGGAATAGCCACTGCCATCAGTAACTTGGAAGTTAAGAGAGCAAGCTTTGGACCCAAACTGTCTGGATTGAAATCACATTCCAAGTTCAGTGTGTCAGACAAGTTATTTAATCCCACTAAGCCTTAGCTTCCTCAAGTGTAAAATGGTATAACCATAGAACGTACATCATGAGGTTGATGTTGGGATGTATTGAATTAATTTATATGAAAAGCTTAGAACACCACCCAATGCATGGCAAATACTCAATAAGCACCAGTTAGTTAAGTTTACTATCACAAAGACATAAAGGACAAAAAAAGAAATAGGTGGAGCATGTTTCCTGCTTAAAAGGAAAACTACCACCACTGTATAGACAATGGCACAGTGGATATCAGTCTCTAACCCATCAGATGAGTTTCTCTGTCTCATCTGGGGAAGAATAAGAGACAGAGAGAATACGGATGTGCTATCATCTGCCCCTCCCCTAACCCCTCCAGCATTTTAAAAAGTTAAAAATGTTTAACTTTTTGTGATTCAACTTGTGAATGTTATCAAGGAACCAAGTAAGTCATAAAGAAAGGAGAGGCCTTCCATATGACATCCTAAAAGGAATTTATCCCATTTATCCTGTACAAATGACATTCAACAACTTAAGAAACCTCCAACAGAAGTTTCAGAGAAGAGGTAAAAATGTTCTTTGCACTGTTTTTTATTTTTAATAAAAATTAAAGATATTTTGTTAAAATATAACTATAAAATCAGCTTTCAATTATGTCAGAATGAAGAGATCAGCAAAAGAAAAACCATGCATCTGGACAAAATTGACAAAAGCATCCAGGGAACTAGAAATCTACCAGACACAGGCAGCAGGTGGAAGAGCTCCTAGAGATTCAAGGAGAAACAGCAGAAGGCGAATTCTTTTTTCCCCAACTCCCATCAGCTCAGTCAGCAAGAATGGTAGTTTTCCAGTTTGGAGTTGGCCAAAACCCAGTGGTTTTGCTACCAGAGGAAAAAGATTTAAAATTTTTAAAATGTCAAAATTTAGGTTAGAGAAGTAGCATAAAATCTTGTGACTTTGGGAGGAAATAGGGAAGGGATGGGGGGTGGGGAGGTGGGAAGAGATAGCATGGGGAGAAATGACAGATACAGGTGAGGGGAAGGAAGGCAGCAAACCACACTGCCATGTGTGTACCTATGCAACAATCTTGCATGTTCTTCACATGTACCCCAAAACCTAAAATGCAATAAAAAAAGTACCAAATTTAGTTAGAAATTAATAGGGAAAGGTCACCACTTTGTTAGCTCAAGGATGCAGTCCCAGTTGGGGTGAACAGCAAACCAACCAGAGTGCTATAGGAGAGAGCCTGGAAGTGTTGAGACAAGTTTTCCACATATTTCTGGCTAATTGAGAATACAAAAAAAAAAAAACTAACCCAGAAAAAGGAAAGAAAAAAAAAAGGAGAAACATAAGACTAAAATCAAGTTGGGACAAATAGAAAATAAATCACAAAATGGTACACCTCAACCAAACTTTAACATGCATTAAATATTAGTGTATTAAACACTCCAAATAAAAGGCAAAGATTTCAAAATTGTGTTTTGTTTTGTTTGTTTGTTTTCTCAAAACGGTTTTGAAAAGCAGCAAAACCAAGCATATGATTTGCAAGAGATACTTTTAAATATAAAAACAGTAATAATGAAAGTAAATAGATGGAAAATTATATAACAGGAAAATATTTAGCACAAGAAAACTAGAGTGGTTCTATTACTACAGCTGGCAAAGAAAAAAAGATCAAAGCAGGAAGTATTACCAGAGATAAAGTAAGATACCTCCTAATGATAAAAAAAAATGAAAACTAAATAGTCTTATCTTTTTATACCCCTAATAACTGAATTCACAAAGCAAAACTAACAAATAAAGAAGTAAACAAATCTCCAAATTTGAAGATGTAACACCTTCTTCTCAATATTATAGAACAATTAGACAAGAAATCAGTAAAGTTTAAAAGATTTTAACAATACTATATACCTTTACTTAACACTAATCAGAACACAACGCCCAACCACTGCAGAATACATATTCTTTTCAAGTGTACATGGAATGTTTACCAAGATAAGCCATATTGTGAGCCACAAAACATCTTTATATATTTCAAAAAATTGAAATATTATAAAATGTTATCTGACCACAGAAACAACTAACTTAGAAATCAGGAACAAATACATATTTTTAGAAAATCCCCAAACATTTGGAAGTTAAACAATATATCTCTAAATAATCTTGGATCAAAGAAGAAATCACAAAGGAAATTAGAAAATTCTTTGATGTGAAT